ACAATACAGAGTAGCGGTTTCTTGATCCAAGAAAAAATTTTAAAAAATCGGAACAGTCTCACTATACCTATGTAAAACTCACAGTTGTTAAAAAGTGCACAAATATCAAAGTAAGATTTAAAAAAACAATGGAAACTTGAGTTCAAGTATAAAGCTATTCAAATAGCGATGCAATTTTGACTTATGAATAGGAAATAAACATCGAATTTCTTGAAGTTCTTAAAGGACTCTTTAAATTTTCAATGCATTCAACTGATTAATTAATCAGTCGAATTTCTCACTGATAACTTCGTTATCAAAAACTTTACCAATCTATAAAGGCGTAACAAAATTTTTTCACGTATTTATTAAAAGTAGATAAGTTAAGATTCTTAATAAGTCTAGAAAAATACCTGAAAATCAGGAAATGTTTAAATCTTTGATTTTAATATCAAATAAATTCTACCGAAACATTGTATTTCTTTGCAATCAAAATAAAATCTTTTCCAGCGTAACCAATTTTTTTCACCAAGAGAAATAAAGACATACTCATTATCTTCCTTTCCTTATCAGAAGACAAATTGACACGATTAATATTGCCTTTGAACTTTTTTGACAGTTCTACCGAGAATGTCTCTTCTTTCAATCTAACATTCGATTTTGCCAATTTAGTTCGCTCTAAACTCTTTCCTATGGCTGCTGATATTATATATATTATGTTCTGAAATTGATGATATTAAAACGAAACTATCGGACAAATGATAAGATGGAAAAATCTTTCGTTTCATCATAGTTTTTTAATTCTCTCTGAATCATCATAATTTGAACAACGATATCTCTAAATTCCATTTTTTTCAAATACCCTAGAATTAGAATAAATTTCTTTGGATTTAAAGCAAAAAGGAAAAATTTATGAAATTTCAGAGACGTACTGACACTTTGTTGACCTGTAGATAATTAACAGTAATTAAACCAAAAACTATTTGTTTTGTCAAGAAATATAGCATTCATAATTCATCAAGATGCATTAGAGAGGCTGTTGCGATTCGACCAGTAAAAGAGAGATTTTTTGTAAAATCTTAAAACAGTCTGATAATTTTAGATTGGTGACAGAGAGTTCTTAAATTTAAATTATCATCCTTATTGAATTAGATTTTGGTTTATGAAATCAAAAATTTAGGTAAAGAAATAGATAGAAATGCTCTTTCTATGCCTTCTCTTTCAAAGATCCCAAAATATTTTTTAAAAAATCACTGAGTGAGCAATGACCATTCGGCTGTCCATTTCGATCAGTTGTGACACCACTATTAATTCCAGTTTCTTTACTTGCTCGTTTCACTGAAATAATAAGAATACGCAATAAATTGTAGAGAAATTATTTCCTTGATTTCTCTTAATTTTTTTCCTTGATTCTTTCTTCTAACATGACACTGTGCTGCCACTAACTTCGCTCAGTCCAGACTGTCAAACTTTCAAAACGCTATCGGAATGTTGCAACAGCTTTATCTGAAATTTTATTTGCATTACTCATTAAGCTGTGAAATTAAGCGGAATAAATTATAAATTTAAGAGACTATATAAAGGCGAAAAGAAATGATTATTTTTATGAAATCTGAATAACAACACTAATAGAATACTGTTGGGCGATACACAGAAAGTCTCCAGAAAAAGTATTCAATTGAAAAAAAGACCTCATTACCTTTGTCATTATATAAGGAAAGGAGAATGACAAATATAAACGTATTGCTATTCTCAATTAACCTTTATTCTCGATATTTGCAGATCGCTAAATGACGAAAAATTTGTAATACAACCACATGCAAACAAATAAAGGCACTTCTGATAAAAGTGTTCCTCGAAATCATCATAAGTATCAAACGTCTCCTTGCATTCTCCACCACCTACAATTATTGCAAGACATTAAAGCTCTTGAAAATAAATGGCATATGTCCGATAATCTACGAATATGATATTGCTTTTTTATCAATATAGGCATTTAAATCGATCTAAAAAAGAGCCAATGATGGAAAATGGAAGAAGAAAAGGAAAAGATGAAGAGAGATAATAAAACGGAAATTGAAATCAAAATATATATTAAAAAAACATACAGAAAATGAAAAGGCAGTAAATAAAGTAAGAAATAACACGCGAAAATTCCAACGTTTTAATCACTTTCCTGAAAGATGGCAACAAATATGATGTAGATAGGATGTACAATGAAATGTATGAACAATACTGAATACATTGATGACACATACATCAGATTCTACACACAAATGTATGACTAAATCTATCATATGACAAAATGTATCAATCATACTTTTTCATATCATTTGACCCATTCTTAACATACCTATTTTATTGATAAAATCAATATGATGATTGTGCATTGTTATCAAAAGTTACTAGCAATTGATTGAGTTGCCTTCTACAAGGGAATATATAAATCTTAGGTATTAAGTTGAACTTGCGTACGTATTGACTACACGTTCGCAAAGAATCAATTATTCTAACATAACATTCTAACATATACTACTATGTATGCTTAAGTCATTCATGCAATAGAATACAGAAATATGCAAATTAAATGAAAGCATTTCGATAAGTATACTTTTTGGCTTGTTAAAGAAATGTAAAAAGAACATAACCAAGACTCTTACTGTTCCGGTTCAGTTCTGATTATCTACTACTAATATGAAAGTTTCCTTTTGTATCATTCCTTCTTAATCCAGTTTAGTAGATCTATGATGAAGAATTTCTACTTCCTCTATGTTACAATAATTAAATTATTCATATATTTGTTGACAATCATAAATGTTAATTCACGGACATATAAAAACCGTCTAAACAAAATGCTAACGTAAAAAATAGCATTATGAATATAATCTCTTATATTCATAGGATGAAAACGATCGCAGGAATTGAAATCAAATCTCTGTACATCGCTTAGATGATAAAGAATTGCAAATGGAAACTACGCAGCGGTTGGATCAAAAATGAGAAAATCGTACAACCATGGAAGTAAATGCGGTCATTGTTATTATCATTAGCGGTTGCTGTTATTATCATTGACATTGGAGGAGTGGAGTGGATGTGCGACTGAACGTGACGATAGATATTGTTATTTCAATGATAAATATCTAAACTATATCTAAACTTTTTTCTGAATTAACTTGTTCTTTTTCAAAGAGCAGAAAGAAATATTTTGGTATTGTAGACCAGGAAATATCTCATTTGACGGATGGAAAAGACGAATTCCTGATGAGATGAGAGGGTTGATTAGAATAAACAAAATAAACAGCAAATATATGCAATATGAAGTATGATTTAGAATATTCGAGATCCATATTACAGCATTAAATAGTATCAACAGTATATAACTGGAATTGTTCGTAACCGGAATTAAAATGATGCAAGATGTAAAAGCTAGAAAAAAATGGATAGACAGAAATTTAACGTTTAAAGGGGAATAATGAAAGCAGAATGTACGAGCGAAAACGAAGCACATCGACGACAAAAGTTATGAAAATGCAATTCGAATAGTTTCATCCGCCTTAAACCTGAATTGCATTGTTATCATGATCTTGAGCAGATAATTTTGATGCAATAGATGATGAACAAAATTTTTCAGATGATTAGAAAATTAGTTATTTGAAAGATGATGCATTCATTATAAGTCATTCAAGATTACATTTGTCATGAGGAATTTGCCACAGTTTTCAACTTCCATACTATCAAGTGAAATTGCGGAACTGAGATCGTTAATAATAAATCCATTTAGAAAAACAAAAAATAGTTGTAAGGAAATTTTGATTTATTATGGAGAATCTATAAGTTAATTTTTATTCATTATTTCACCATCATTATTCTTAATAAAATTAATTAATGATGAAAAAATTGGAATGTAGCGACAAAGTATGGAAGTTATCGGAATAATGCAAGATGAATGGGTAAATAAATGATGATCAAACTTGTAGTAGTTTTAGTTTACGGATAGGACCTTTGACCAGTTCGTCATGGTCATAACTGCGATATCATTCCGATCTTTGATAATTCAGTAATGATAATGGTACTGGCTTCAATTAAAGAAAAAGAAAATAATAATCAAACGGAGTGAAAATATTTGTCCTTTAGACGCAATATGCAATAAGAGATTAACATTTGAACAGAATTACTCATTCTTAAATCAGATATCACAACGAAGTATTCTTGGTGGCAGTCCTCGAGCAAATCATGGAGTCACTTTCACGTCCGCAGTGAAATGTGCAAAATAATAATTTAAGGAAAGATAATAATCAGAAATTAGAACTGATATTTTGTTTGAAAGATTCAAAAATTTGTACGTTAATTGAGAAATTGTTATAAATGATAATTTTAGGATGATAGCACGTATCACGTCGAGATCGTTATTTGATGATTTTAGTTCAAATGCTGCTAATTTAGTGATTTTAGTTTCCATTTCTTCATGAGACTTTTTTTTTTGAAAACATAATGTTATACATCTTTTATCATTCTACATGAATTATAAGTGAACTGATTAAACATCAATCACGCTTGAATATTGAAAAAAGAGAAAAGTAAAAATACTTGAGATTTAAATTTTAAAATGTTCAAAATTTGATAGCATAAATAGTTTTAGTTTAATTGTCCTTTTTTGTGAACAACTTAGCTTAATTGAAATTCCTAAATATTACATCATATCGATCAGATGATTCTGTCTAATTTAGACATAAACTTTTACTTTTTTCCTTTTTCAGAATAAATTCCTTTTTCTGAATTGGGAAAAATTTAAATGTATGATATGTAGAAGGCAATGAAGATTTCAACATTTCAATTTGAACTTTAATTTTTAAATCTATTTTGGATGAAATATTATGGATAATTTTGATTGTTATAAATTATTCGTTCAACAAATTGTGCAGAAATTTGTAACAGTTAATTAGCATCGTTTTTATTTCCATTGTTTTCTATTGATTTTTCATTTAATTTCATTCATCTGAGCTCTTTTCGGCAACATTTTTTCAAATTTCATTCTCTCCCTCTTTGCTTTTCTTATCCTTCTCTTGTTTACCAATTTGCTTTTCCGCTTTCTCTAATTTTAAACCATCCATTTGTTCTTCCATTTTCATCTGCTTCAGATTAACTTTTTGCAACGTATTCTTTTCCAATTCTTTTTCGTTCTCATTCTTTGTTTCTTTCAAATCTGTTTCTTCAGCAGACGCATATTTGATCGTTTCTTTTAGTGCTGCAGTACCAGCGTTAATTTCAGCTTCACATTTGATGAATGCTGCATAGAATTCATTCTTTGCTTTCTGTTCAAACTGATACTGAAAGCAATCATTAGAGAAATTTAAAAGATGGAAATTGTATTTATGAAATGATCACGAGCTGTAAGAAATCAATGAGTAAAATAATCCAACAGCAATCACTATAACCTGAAATCCTCGTTTATTATCGAATTATTCGTTTAGAAAATACTTGCTCAGATAAGATTGCAATAATCAAAAACGAAAGGTAATTTCTTCTACAGTTTCAATCGATGACGGAAATAGTGGGCCTACGTTGCAGTAAATAGTGGACATGTGAATACGATTATTCTACGTTTCAGCTCTTCGATGCATCTTACGAAGTCGCCGATGAAATAATACTGCTCACCACAAACCATAGACGTCCAATTTGATTATTAAGAAAAGTGACAATTCTTTCGAAATTAAATTGTTCCTTTCTAATTTTTTATTTGAACACAAAATATTTTAGTATGAAAGAAACTTACATTTTTCAACATCAAAACTTTAAGACATTGCATGTGATGTCTGTGTACCGCTTTGTAACGCATTACCTTGAAAATGATCGGAAATTTCAAATTTTATAAACCATAAAAAATTTTAATTTTAATAAGCATATAATTTTAGCACAGGTAGGAAAAAGAGAAGCAAGTTACCTCATTTTCAACTCGTTCAAAGAATAATTGATGCTTATTTCTGGCTTCTTCCGCTTTCATAAGACGTTCCGGTGTTTTCCGCGCTTCTACACTTGCCATAGCTCGATCCATTTTATCTTTTAGATTATAACACTTCTTAATATCCTAAGAAGAAAATATCCATAATGTTACAACAAAAAATAAAGCGAAATTTTTTCTACGATTGACGATCCTTACAATCATTCGATACTTTCTACTCTCAGTGGTTGTGTTTTTTCCTTTTCCTTTGAATAAATAATATTTTTATACTTAAAAAGATTTTTCTGCTCTTTAGAGTTTATGCATTTTTATAAGATTGTGACGATTTTATAATTCAAACCTACGATTTATTTGAATAATGATTCTATTTTGAATTAAACATGAAATTCAAAATAGAATCATTATTGAAATATTTATGGACAGTTAGATGAACCTATATAAATGTATGCATACTAAATGCCAACCCTAAAAGTTTCGCTTTTTCAAAATGTTTATTTGAATTGCATTATGTTAAGATTGTAATGATTAGAAGAACGCATAAAGAATTTCAAAATTCATTCTTAAATTCTATACAAATTTAACTTTTATTAAGTTAAATGAGATGACAAATGAATGACTTTCATAAGGCGTGGATAATCTTCCTGAATCCAATTTTTCATTGGTGTAACCACTCGTTGAAATGCTTCCATTTGAGCTTCACGTTCTTGTTTTGCAATTGAAATACAAACATTTGCTGTTGCTTGAAGTGCTTCATAGAAACTGCCAGAAGCAAAATATGGCATATACTGTAACAATTATTTTCACGCATATTATTTTGAAATATTTTTATAAATAGTAAATATTTAATCCCTTCACTAATAAAATGAATCCATTAGGCCTTCTTATTTCAATTCTTTATTACAATTGTGATTAGAAAATGTATTTTTGGATGGATAAGCATTGCATAGTGTTATGTTTTTAGAAATGAAAATGTATTTTATATTTTTAAAATTTTAGAAAGAGTATCTTCTTTTTCATAATACTTGAAGATACTCTTTCATTTTCTTTCATACTCTTTCATTTTCAGTCATACATTAAAAGAAGATGGTAGATTAGAGAAGAAAGATACCATTTCCAGCTAATTCTTTCGAAAAAGCATTTCAGATTAAACTACAAGTATTATTACTATTCCTGGCTCATCTGACCATAATACTTATCGTATTAATTTCATTTATTTGTAGGAATTACATTACTCTATATTGAGAGCAGTAAGTTTGTCGCATACAATTAGTAAAATTTAAATCTACCCTAATTTGTTTTTTCTTGAAAAAACTTCTGAAAGAAATGTATATATATCATAAAGCTATAATTAAAATTGTGAAAAGAATTAAAAGGTTAACAATTATTAATAATTATAATGATATAGTGATAAATTTCATAGTGATTAATATTAATGTTAAATAAAAGTACCTTTTGCGCGACATGTGCCAATCGTTCCAAATCATTCTCTTTGGATCCCTTTGATGATGAAGTATTAATCAACTTTTCAATTGCTGCTACAACATCCACAGTGTACTCTTGTGTTATCTGAAAGATAATGAAGTAATCATACGAGTTATTATATGATTAATTCATTATTAGGTGGGACTGTAGATAATACTCATTGATTGATTGGAGGTCAACCGCTATTGTCGTATAACAGATACTTCATTTCTACTATGTCCAACATAAGCATATTATTATATTACAGGAGATAATCCACTTTAAATGACCAAATAAGAGGTCAAAAATATATATATATATGAATTATTCTAGGCTAACCTTTATGAAACCAACTGCTTTCTCGAAATTTTCTGGATAAGCGGAAAGTTTTTTAATTTCACTTAAAGTTTTCGGCATTGCTAAAAATCAATATTAAGCTTACAGAAGCCTTTAAAATACTTACAAAATTAAATAGGATAAAATGAAACATTTCGAATAAATTATTCACTTACAACAATCTGTCTGTCTTATGCAACCGTTTCAAAAATGATACGTCGATGAAGTGATATGAATCTCTGTTTATTATACTTTTATTATAATATCTGAGAAATAAATGCATTATTTACTATTATTTTCATTCAGTTGAATTTTTTTCAACAATTTATGGAAAAATTAGAAGTATTAAATGATTTCGTTTTGGAATTTTTGATATATTTCGCCGTATTTTTAATTAATTTTTCCATAAATTGTTAAAATATGAAATTGAAATTCATTGAAATTCATAAATTACTCCAAAATATTCAATTGTATTCATATTCATATGTAAAATATATATTTTATTTTAATTATATGCTATTATTTAATAATTGATTATCCTGAAATGCAAAGAATTCTTAAGTTTTAGCAGTAATTATAGTAATCGTAGTAACTTTTTCATCAATCGGTTTCAGAAGTGTACAGTTATAATTTTATTTCTAATTTTAGATTGATCGCATAATTAAAAAAGAGAAATTTTATTCCTTTGTGTTAAAAGTGTTAAAGTTTGCATAACTTTGAGAAGACATTCAATTTCATATTTTCCATCAAATTGATTGATTAATGAGAATCTAAAAAGCATTTGAAATTCATTATCAGAATGATAGATATCTGTTAGGAATTAGAAACGATGAATGAATTCTTTTAAATTTAGTAATAAAAAGACATTGCAAATTCAATGCCAATAAAAAAATTACAATAAACAAATTTTAAATGGATTATTAGGAATCATCGATTTCAAATATCAGCTTACCTCAATTCCTTAATCAAATTAATAGGGCAGATTGAATTTGAATGAGACTAATGATAGCTTGAGTTAAAATTAGTTCGTGATCCCAGATTGTCAATGTTGATGCATTGATGAAAGAATATGGTTTGTTGCGATATTATCCACATCCATAATATCTTCACCTGCTAAATCAATTAGTCGCATCTAAAATAAATTGAACCGGTAAGTTAGGAAGACGTAAAATTCTTTATGCTTAGGAAGATCATTTTCTATTAAACCAATAATGATCCCATACTTAACAATTACTTGATCATAATGACTGGATATGAATAGCAATTCTGAAATCCAATCTTTCCTACATAGCTTATTGTTTAAGAGTCACTTTCTGTCTATGTATTACAAAATCTCCGTGAATTTTTCTTCCTTTTTGAAAGAAATTAGCGAATATATAATAGTTAAATAGTTTAAAATCAACCTCCGGAATTCCGTTTAAGCAATTTTTGGTTGCGCTAGAGAAATAGAGAATAGAAAAATATTGGAGCATTTTCTTCTCATTAATTGAAAATTTAAGATACCATTATTGTTTACTTAATAAATTTTCTGCAGTTAAAAAATCTACAAAAATTAACTTTGATTGTCCTGGTCAATCTTCTGGTCAGATGATATCATAATGCAAAAACTTTCCGTTTACGAGATTTTTAAATCTCGTTCTCCAAATATATCTATGCTGTTGCTTAAAATATAAATGTTGATCAAGTGTGCAATAAATTTATTTCACTTACTCATGTATTCATACTTTATCAGAAACTAATAGCAATTGCCAGTCATTAATTAATGCAATGCAAGGGTGCATCTATCATATGAACGTTCTGAAAATTCGTGAAGACTGTAATAATACAGATGCACACAATCACTTTGTAATCTATCGTTTACACCATTCTGTTCCTATGCACTTCTTGTCTGTCGCATCAATCGTCATAGAAAATTTACGTCCACCTGTTTCCTCAAACACTGAAACTTCAATTTTTTAAAAATATTAAACAAATGTTAAGACTCCATTGGATTTGTTGTTGAGGAGCAAAATTCTGATACGAATGCAAATGCCTTATCATCAAATTTTACACTTAATTACTTTGCTCTTTTATCTTCCTGAGAACTATCTTGGGAATACGATTGGTGCGTTCATTGCTATTTTCATTGAAAAGCGTATTTCCATACTTAAATCCTATATTTACCTTTATGTGGTTAATATAAACAATTCAATGATAGTTATCTTTTTCTGATATCGTTCAGCAATAACCGCAATAGTTAAAAGAAATGGATCATATTCATCTATTTAATTACTTGCAGATAGAAACTAAAATGAATATGTAAGGCTATCATCGTTATTGAATGCACTGATAAGAGATAGAGGAGAGAAACGGATGAGGGCAAGAAACTTATGACATTTCCTTTCATTGGTAAGCTATATCCATGAAGTATTTAATAATCAGTCAGTGATACTCAGTGATTGAAACGATTATTCCTAGAAGGCACTTTTTTGCTTAACAAGTTGACGTTCTGGCATTCGAACATTGAACCTCCTTTCCCCAAACAAGTCACTTTGCAATATGCGTGATATAAAGGGATATTCTGGTTTACTAATTCATCGGATGGTTGGTTACTGTCGAGACAAAAACAAAAGCATTTCCGGATGTTCTTATTTCCAAAAAATCCGTTAAGTAATGCTCTCGCTTTTATTCTGCTATAAATATCAAATTTCTTCCAATAAATTCATTTCCTCATGTCTTAAAACTGCCCGTCTATGGCACAGACTTCACACAAAAACCGTGCAATAGATGTTGTACAAATGGCAGAAGACATGTTTTTATTTAACACACTTCCGAAGTTACAGAAAGTAATAAAATATATTTCATGATAAAACAATAAACAGTGAACAACGTACAAACAAACATATCAACCTCAGAAATGTTCAAAGGAAAATTTCAACTAAAAATTTGAATGTTTGGCAATAATTTAGTTTAGCGTACAGGAAAAGACGAGTACACTGGACATGCCCCACAATTCATACTTAATCCTTATTTCGCAATTTTCCATGACCTCCAAACCATCTATACGCCACGTTTCAATTAATTTCAAATTTGATTTTGAAGTCTAGAATTAAAACGGTTAAAGCGATTTGTATTTTGAATTGCAATACTGAATGAGCAACAGAAAAATTCCAAAAAGCACGAAAGTGCTATAATGATTATTAAAATAAAAGGGAGAGCTGCCCTCACCAAAAAGGAAGACTACAACATTTGTGATATCACAGTAAGACCACCCACAATGCAGAACATCACAATTAACGGAAATTCATGAAGTAGTCCAGATCTATCGAAACCTTTGAAAAGCTATATTTTGCTCTGCTCTCTGCAAGCAAGGCTAAAGTCAGCAAATTTTAAACCATAAAATACTTTTCAAATATGTAAACTTAGACTCTATCAATTTAACTCAAAAACAAAACAAGGTGTCCAACAAGATGACTACTGCTACCTAGATCGGAGATCCTAACCCGCTGTAGTCTCATATCATTTAATATATGGTAACGGTTATTTTGAAGAGATTGAATCTGGATATACAAAATGAATTAAGATGGAAATAATTTAAATAAATGCCGATGCTTGCACACCCATCAAAGCGTTTTGTAGAAATCTTAGAAGTAAAAGATAGTAAGCTCGTTTTCCTCCGATCTATTGGTAGAATTGCATGCATGACTAGTTCCACAGCCCCCTGCAGTCTTCAGCCTTCCTAGAAGCGGACGAGGAAGAATCTTTTAAAATTATCTTAGCGAATTTGCTTTCTATTAGTGATGTAAGTTCTTTCATGACAAGGAAGGGGAAAAGAATTTCGAAATGGGATTAAGTGAAAACTTAACAGTGGGCAAAGAATGACAGTTTTGGAACAATCTTTCAGTAAACAACAAAAATCAATTCAAGTGGAAAATCGATATCTTGAAATCGTTAAAAACAAAAATCTTTTTGAAACAATGCCAATAGAATCTGCCGATTTACTATTGCAAAATTGTTCCAATCATAGCTAGTGCTGTAATATAAAAAATTCTTTGCCTATCCTTAGCCAAACATCGAGCATTATAATATCTTCCATAATTCAATAATCAGATTGTTCCAGAAAAAGAAACTTACTGATAAAAAATTAATAAAATAAATCTGAATAAAATCAATAAATGAATGATGATCATTTATAATTTAGCAAAAATTAACGGATTTTTAAAATCCTCTTAAGAAGACAAAGTAATTAGCGTGGAGACAACACAAACAACATATAATTTAAATCATCACGAACATCACCTTTTTTCCACATAAATTGGAATTACTGGAGAAAAACACGAACCAATCCTGCTGCTCTGGTTCATGCCATTATTGCTCCTTTTTTTGAATTTCTCAATCATTTTCAAAAAAACATAAAAAATTGAGAATCTACATGATACGAGCAGCTTGTAACTACCACTTCTTGCTTTTGGGGAAACTAAGCCCACCTCGTACAGAAGTACTGCAAAATATGAAGCGATGACCCAGGGGATCAGTGCTTGTTTAAAAGATCTCAATTACTGCGCTGATTTGAAGAACATTGGTGTTACTTAGTTACAGCCTTATAAGAGAACAATTATAGCCGAAGTAATACTGCGGTGGTACTAGAATTTCATTCTCGTCTTGTATCGAAATTCCTAATTGTAAAAGCAGGACATGTCAGGATATGTGGTGTAGCCCAAAATTACATAAGCTCCACATAATCATCACTTAACTCAATTTATGAAGCTGACTGTGGTAACGATTGGCTGCCATGTTGTTGCTGTTTAGTTACAGCTTGATGATGTAACATATGATATTGATCCAAGTAATGCTGTGGTGATGCCAGAGTGCTCTTCTCGCCTGGAATTGGACCAGTCTCATTGTGCAGGGGATAAGCTGCAGAAATTAAAATAAAATAATATAAGTCTCAAGTTACGCATCACTGTCACTTGACTTCGTTCATAAGGATACATAAAATTCCGACCAGCTTTTTCAGTACTAAATCAGTTCAAATCTTAGAAAAGGTCCATCAACTCGATGGAGTACGTCCGAATTTCCAAACTAGTCTTTTTTCACACGGGAAAGATACTGCACTTCTTAGCAACAGTTTCTTATTCCATACAAATCAGTAAAATTATACTCACCTGGTTCAGGAAAAGCGGGTTCACAAAGGGACGTGTAATATAATTCTAACATTTGATGCATAGTAGCCGACAAATTTGGGTGCGAATTGTTTTGTTGCACTGATTGTGCTGCTTGCTGGTTTCGCTGAAATCAGAGTTATATGACATTCACTTTTCTTGACTAAAATTATTAGTGCTACCAACTTTTATTATTGAAACATTTAGTATCTCATTTTTGCAATTCAATGTACTGAAGTCTATAGTAAGCCACCAAAGTTTTTCATGTATCGTTGATAAAGCAAAAAGATTTATTAACCGAAAGCAGGACTGACTCCATCCAAATTAGTTCCGACCCTCCTAAATTTATTTAAAAAATTTTTTCCATACATTCTTTCCTCAGAGAATAACATCATTCCAAAGCTTACTTGAGATAAGTGTTGCGGTGTTCGTAAATTGACTGCTTGTGCTAATATAACCGTCCCTGGAGGAGCTGTAGTGAGCGCTACAAGCATACATTTTACGTGAATTTTAAGTATGAGAATTATATCGCAAAATAATAAAACTAGCAGAAAATAAGGTAATAATTCAGAATGTTCTGAATTCAAATAAAAGCCGAAAACTTACTTTGCGCTGGAACTTGAGCATATACCACATTGCCATTTACGCATCCATCTGAAAGTTTTCTAGCATGTATCACCAATTATAAATCATGTTGCGAGAGAAAAACAGATTCAAGAAGGAAGCAGTAATGAAAGAGACAGTCTAATTTTATACAATCATTGTTATTAAATCACACTTTTTTTGACATAATAAATCAAGTATTTTTAATGAAAACTGAAAGTTTTCCTTGATAAATAAATAGACTTGGGAGAGAAATTTATAGAAAGCAGTTCTGAGAAATCATATATCAGTCACAAGGTGGTATAAATCCATGCATGAATGGTTCAAAAATTTACTGATTTTTGGTGCTGATGGCGCAGCAAATCCCACTTGTGTTGCACCTCCATTATTATTCAGTGGTGTATTTGGTGCAGTATCAAAAGTCATATTTGATTGCTCCGTTTTCATCAGGATTTTGGATAATTTTTTCCGTTGCGGATGATAGACCAAATTCGGGTTGTCTTTCAAAGCCTATAAAATGTTAAATGGTCTATAAATCAAAAATGTTGCAATACGATTAATAGAGACAGAACTGCCCAGGAATTCACAGCAGCATATCGTCTAGTGGCGGAATGATCAACTTGATCAAACTTGACCTTTTGAATAAGGACTACAGTTACAGCTATTTAACCATTTTCTCTGAGGATAAGCTGCTTCTCTACATCAAAAAAAAAGCTATTCAAATCGCCCTGCTAAGTTAGAAACCGCAACCTAATTTGTTTATTATCAAATGAAAGAGCCTCATACCAATTTGAAGGCAGGCTACTAAAAAATTGCACGAACTAGGAGACAGTAGCGGAAGCACCACATAAACAAGCGCTGACACACACCCACACAGGCATACATACACACAGACAAACACAAACATACATACTAACACAAATATATCCCAAGACAGAGGTTTCTGTGCAAAGAAGGGGAAGCACATCACCCCCACCCACCGAGAAAATGCTTCTCGAAATTATGTACGCTCTCCTACAACTGTCTATTCCTTTCACTCGCGCTCCACCGTTCGTCCTCTATATATTCAGATATCCATTCAAACATCCAAATACTTACCGACATCAAGTACAGCGACAGGAATTACAATCACCACAAGAATCTTTAGTCTTAGAATCCCAAAATGTTTACAGTGATTTCCAAATGAAAGAGCTAGTCAAAGGAAAAAAATAATACACACAATTCATTTCACACACCGAACAAGGACAAGAAAGTAAACCATTAACTTTTTTGCCTTGACACACTGCAGTGACATCGTGCCAGTGGAATCAAAGTTATACAGAAGAATGATTTACAAACTCTTTTTCAATCGTATAAATCAAGTCAAAGAGCTCAGAAACTTATCAAATGGCATGTATGAATGGAAGTTCATTTTCTATACTTTGCATGTTTCATTTGCATAACCACTGAATAATTAAAGTGCACACTACTTTATGAATACATTGCTACATCACAACCCTATTCGATTAATTTATGTCAAGCCAGTTGCTCTTTCTTCCGTAAGAAATGAAATATATATATTTCACTTTTACTTACCAGTGCTTAAAAAGAATTTCAAAAAATGCACGCCAAGAAATGTTGAATGAACTGAAAGAAACAGAAGAGTGCCAGATCAATTAACAAAACACACCATAGAATAACTTCTATGCTCTTAAAAGCTTGCTAATTTATGAAGATGAACTAGTAAACACTATGTCGTACTATCACAAGAAGACTGTATTAAGAAGAAGTTATGGCTGGCATCCTTTTGCAATGAAGTGAGCAAAACACGCACATAAACACATTATATATATATACACATATACACACACAGAAAGATGCACTATGGCAGCTACTGACGCAAAGTGACTAAAGTGAACCAAACAGCACCTAAAGAGAGCTAAATAGAAGTGCTTTGTGCAAGTTTATATGTATGTATGGATACGTGCGTGTGTGTTGTGTGTGAACGTGGATGAGTACTTATATATGTATCTGTGTGTATGTATGTTGCATGTGCGTGTATGTGAGCGCATGTGCATGTGTGCCGCTTTTACTATGACCTCCTTAGTTTAACACAACTTGGTAATATTTCTCTCAATGTGCTCCCCATGTTTTTAAATATATCTAAGAGAGTGTGAACTTTTACAGCCATCCTTGCGGTGCTTGTGAGGATTCATGACTGCTTCCATAGTAACGTTGCTGAGTATTTGTATATAGACCGAAATTATTGAATAACAAAGAGAACTAATTCTTATCAAATTCAGTAAGCAAGTAAATATTTCTTAAAGACAAATGCTCCCAGAACAGACCACCAAGTCGATTCTTATGCATACAAAGTACGAAAAATTTTGAAATAATTGTTTCTCTTAAACTTGCACTTACAGAGACGGAAAAAGAGGATAGCATTAAAATATCTAACTTTTCTTTTTCCAAAAAGTGGAATGGAAGTGGCCAGAGAGCTAATACCAACTCCCCATTTCAAAGTTTTCCATAATTACTGCTCAGCAAATTTTATACCTCTAATGCTCGTCCGACAAACATTAACAATATATAAAACACCACAGTTCTACAATAAAATTAAAATAATGTGGTAAAGAAAGAATAACATATAAAACCGCTTACTTTTTTATGATCCAATCGATTCTGCTTCGATGCTTCAAAATATTGTCGTTTTTCCTTTTCACTCATATTTTTCCACTTTTCACCCATCTAAAACATAAAACTAGATGCCTTTAAACCTTTTCAGGAAGAGGTAACCATTTCTGAATATCTTGCAAATATGCTTACAATTCTGCTTGCTTCATGCATCTTCATATTTGGATTCAAAGCCAGCAACTTCTTCCGTTCTTGTTTTGTGAATATCATATAAGCATTCAGCGGTCTTCTAATGAATTGGTGATCGTCTGCAACAGTGTTATATTTCGTATAACTTTTGCTTAAATTATCTGCCGAGAAAATAAACATTATGCAAGAAAGTGATAATTTAATGCATATTCTCATTCTACTGAACTTTTTACAAGTACAATGTTTTCCACTGATTATATATGTACATATGTGCAGCTAAGTGGAAAACTCCATGCAGTACGAAAAGGAAAGCTTAAAAGTAAAAATAGTGCCATATCTTAATTCAAATCAATTCTAAGATTTCGCAGAAACCTGCGGGTGAAGCGGACTGTATCCGATGCATATAAATGTTGTTCGGCAAACTGACCACATGAGATGGACTTTCCACCCTAGCATTCTCGCCAACACTGCTTTGATATCTAAAATGCAACGTTATCAAAAAGCAGAACATGAAACTTTAATTCAAAAAATGGCCGCTAGAACCTCAAGCAATCATTAAAATTACGCAGTCAGAATACCGCGTACACAAATTTATTACGATAAGCACATGAAATGCGCTAGTTCTTTTCGGTGACGTGAATTCATTCTTCAAGATATATAGTTCGGGATATCTTGAACTGACCTTCTTAATCAAATGGTAGTTAATCCTCTGACGAATTTTATTGCTCTTTTCCAGTTGACCAATTTTTCTAGAGACAGCTCTCTCATGCCATAATTAAAAACTCCGTAAGGTGACAGCCAAAATATTAAGAGCATTTGGTCCTATGTAATAAATTGAGGAGGACAGAAAGATCAGAAAAGCTTAGAGAATGCTCAAGAAACACTTTAAAAAGTTAAGTTGGACAAAGAATTTAGATTTAAAATATAACACACGCGAACTTCTAACAGTCTGACTAGAGATGTAATTTGACTGCTTTCATCTAGCTTCCTTCCCTTGCTTAATGAGTAAGAGTAACAATATTGAACAGAAATCTATGATGTCTTTGACTGTAATCTACTCAATGGCTAGAAAAAATACCCATTAAAGCAGGCTCCTTGACTGTCGGGTAGTGAGGATGAAGCCGCTGGTGAAGATGATTCGCTAGTGGAAACCAATGGGGTCGAGCTGCGACTTTCATCCACGGACATTCAATCCCCTATACGCTTTGAAATATTACATGATAAGATTCGTACTTGACGCAAATATGTTTTCGACACAAGAAGGGTGTAATTTGGAGTGGCGACAAGAAATGAATGCATATCAAATAAAACGATTTGATCCCAAATAGCACAAATTTTTTAATTAAAATAGTTTGGAACAGAAAAACTATAAATTTTAGTGCCTTTACTGTAAGAAAATTTTTTCGACAAATTAATTAAACCATAAACATTGAAATTCCATCGCTTAATTTTTCAAAGAACATAGTTGGGACAAGCATAATGTATGTTACAACGTAAATATCCATGTTGAAAGTGACTGTGACATGCGGAGACACGCTTCCTTTTTCTACACAATTACCGTTTCACAGTAATGAAAGATTCATAAGCATAACGTGTCCTTGAATGATGACCAGTCCATCTCCCCCAAATTAATATCAGAGAATACAGGAATTACCGTATACAATATTGTAAGTGCACAATGCGACTTCCAATTGTGGAACAATGAGTCATGTGGTGGTAACAAAATGTCACTCCTAGTTGTAATATAACGGGTCACTTATAATTGGCACAATGAGCCATCTAGTTTTGATATAATGATCATAGATGTAACATTATGTTTCACCCAGTTTTGACAGTGGGTTATCTGGATCAGACATAACAGACCCTGGTTCTGGCACGATAAGTTATCCAACTGTGACAATGATTGCTATTTTAAGCATTTTATTGTGTAAAGAAGATTTCGCTGCTGAGCATCTAACTAACCATTTGCCACGCTGACTACACGTTAAAATAACATGGTATCCAGCACAAATGTAAAAAAAATACGTTGAGAATTATGTGTATGCATCGATGACAAAACGCGCATCAAATATATGGTGATATGAGCATGAAAGTTTTGCACACGACAAAGTTCATTTAACTCACTCACTTTTCACGCAAATACTATATGGTTATGACAAGTTTATTACTAGCTAATTAAATCAGTAAAATCAACAAAACGAAAATAATGCTGTCAAATAAAAAGGCAATAAACTTGTAATATTGAAGATGGAGTAAACGCAAAATTTTCTTAAAATTTGAAGAAAAACTACTTAATATTCAGACACGATTATCGAGGTCGAGATGCAAGTGAGAATTGACGTTTGACCTTTAAACCACCCCTTCCGTTTAGCTCCCTTCATGTGCGCCTCCCTCCCCCGCGTAATACAAACAAATGACATATCATAAAATCATTGACACCATGTTATCCTTACGAATCACCTCCAATCTATTGCAGCGTAGTATTGTCAATTCATGACTTTTTCTAATTTTTAGTGGCAATTTCATTATCAAAGCATGATATAATTAATTATGCATACAGCTTAAAAAGATATTAACCTTTTACAAATACTTGTCTTAAGGACTAATTCATCGCACCTACAAGGGACAGTGTAATGAGATAATCTGATAATTATATAATGTCACAAATGGTTAACTGCTAGAACCACTGTACTATGCGGTCATCTTGCGAGTGGAATGTTTCGAATGAAGAACGAATGTATAGGAATTAACTGCATCAGTAGCTGATAACAAATTTGTG